GTTTCATTCAACATATTCATCCATAACAAATCATTTGTACCATCACAAAAAAATCCAAACGGTATGTTGCCTTTTAAAATATTTCGTTGATTCTTAGTCAATTCATCTTCTCCATTTCGACAATTTTTATCTCCATTTCCAAGTGCAATCATTGACAAACATTTATTTGGTTCAGATTCACAAATAAATCTCCATGAATCATTTAATTGACAAGCAGAAAATAATTCATCTTCTCCGAAATAACAATCGTTCCAACCATCAACTAGTCGATGTTTTGAGATGCATTTCAATGAAAGTGGACAATGAAATAAGGACGGATGTGAACAATTTTGATCTGTACCACTCGTTGAACAGCGACGAACGAGATCTATAAACTTTTCATATAAATAGACCCACCCGTCTATTGTCTCATTTATTAGACTAATAGTTCTACAACAATTGAGTTCAGTTCCAATATCAACTGAGCAAGATGCCAATGCAGGACACCGACTTACATTGAAACAAATAAAATCAGGCATAAGATTTTTCTTGAAATCAGCAACTGATCGATTAGTTAAGTAGACAAATTGAAAGAAACCGTATATAATGGGATATTCAGGAAAAACAAGCCAGTCTGACAGACAATGTTTGACAGCGGAATCGCACATGTTTTCTGTCGGTACTTGCATCTGAGAAAAAATCGTATCGATACGAAATAAACAGTATAAAGCTTGTCGACAATCTAAGTTCGAAATATAATCCAGCGAAGTAAACATAGTCAATGTCATTCGTTCATCACGGCGATTAGTACAAAAACCTTGAAAACAAGGTATCGATTGTGCTTTAAATTCACCGTCATCGCATGGAAAAGTGAAAAGACGTCGACTTGTACTTTCCTCACATCGAAATGTCGGAGTTCGGATGCATTCAGAATTGAAATAGGTATTTTTGTTATAATCTTTCACTTCGTCAGTAGTGTCAAGACAGTCTATCATAGTGTTTCCATCGTTAACAAATGTTGATGGAATGCACTGTCCGCCGAAATGACATCGAAATTCATTGTTGGAACATTCATTCACTTCCAACAGTTGACACAATTGCTCATCTTCTCCATTAATACAATCAGAATTACCGTCACAAATTTCACGCCAATCGAGACACATGTGTGATGGACCACGATAGCAGTCAGTTAAAAACGGATAGCATGTACCATTAGTGAAATTCTTCCACCATGGTGCATAAAAACGGTGGGTAATCACGTATTGAACGACATTACTAAATGGAGGTAGTATGTCAAACTCAATGCTGTATTGACATGTAGGACCAAACCAGGACGATGAACAATTGTAAAATACTTCACTTGAATTCTCGCCATTCTTTTCGTATCGTTCTGCAACATCTATCGGTGCTGACCAATCAAGTAATTGTACACCTGTCACACCATGTCGATATAAGTCAGTAAAACTGGTGTTATATTCTACATGTTCATATGATCTTATAGATCGCTTTTCCTGTTCTTCATTTTGATCAAGTCGTCGGCAATAAGGAGTTAAATGATAATTAATACTATTACCAACATCGTCCCCTTCTACATAGTCCCTTACATAATAATACAGACAATCGAATGTAGATTTCAAGTCCCGTTGATCGTCAGACTGATATAAAGAATATCGAGCATCAAGTATCAGAAATGATACGAGAAATGCCAATAATTTTATTATTTTCATCACCAACTGAATCAATGAAAATAGAAGTGATTTGTCCAACGTTTCATAATTTTATCTCAGAAAAACCTATTTGTCTTACTTTTTCTCCAATTTTTTGTGGTACTACATTTTCGAGCGTCCTACCTTGTAGAGATGTGCAACCCGACCCGTACCCGACCCGTACCCGTACCCGTACCCGACCCGACCCGAAGGTTGGGTACGGGTACGAAGTTGTCGGGTACGGGTCGGGTACGGGTAGAGCAGTTACGGGTACGGGTTCTATTTTTTTTAACTTACCCGAAAACCGGAAGGTTCGAGTGGAAAACTCTCAAAATTTCAGTGAAAAAATACAGAAATCCAGCTAAAATACATTAAGGTTTAAAAAAGAATTACTTGAGAACGTAATGATAATTTGACATGTTCAGCCGAAAAACAAAAGTTTTTAGCTGGAAAACAAAAAGGAGAAATCTTTTACGTATAAGTCGATTACGGGTCGGGTACGGGTCGGGTACGGGTACACAGTTCTCGGGTCGGGTCGGGTACGGGTACAAAGTTGTCGGGTCGGGTCGGGTACGGGTGGAAAAAAAATTTTCGGGTAGGGTACGGGTACGAAAATGGTACCCGTGCACATCTCTACTACCTTGAATTCTGTCGGTCTACCAGATGCACAAATGAATAAATTATACTAGTTGCTGTCTCTATCAACGTTTTTCTTTTGAAGTACCCATACATATATATATATATGTATAATATATAATCTCTTATCCTTTCACAAACACAGAACAGATGTACTTCTCACGTCAAACAACAAAAAGTGAATTCCGGAATTTCTTCCGAATATTTGTTTCCACAATAAAAGTCAATTTGATAAAAAATATATTTCGAACAGTGTGATGCACAAGAAGTTAAAAGTCTTTCATCAAACATTAACATATGTGACTTCTTTATCCATCCCATGACCTGAAGAAAATCTCACATAACGATTGGGCCAGTCCTTCGAGCGCTCCGTATCTATTCAAACATTGCAGATTGTAAAAAGAAATTTTCGACATCGAAATTCGTCTTTTACTCAACAGTTACCCATCTGGGTTTCATCGATAGCTGCCAACCATCGATATTGAGAGCCACATATCTCAAAAATCGAATGTTCGTCTTGAACGTTAGTATGTTGCACAGTATTTGTGATAAAATGACACCATTGAAATTGAGGATTACTCAGGTAGCATAAGTGAGTTTGGTCTCTGTTGATAATAGCTACTCAAAACTATTATCCAGCTTCAAATCATAAATTAGTTCTTTACGTAAGTAAGTGCCTATGTAAGGTCTTTTTCTCAGTCTTCTTTTTAGCTCAATGGACAAAAATGCCTTGAAGATATGTTAAGTTCAGCAAAAGATAACAATATTCCCAACAAGAAATTCAAACAGGAATTGATACTATCGCGCAAGGTATATCTGTTCGACCAGCATCACGTAATTCTAGTATTCCATATTCCACACGTCAATCAACTAATCAAGTAAAACGTTTCGGCCGCGAATTTGCGATTTTCTATTTTTTATAAATAATTCCCGAGATTCTGGAAATTCGAATTTCACACATAGTAGTATTTTTGGTGGTACTACATTATAAAGCGTCCAACCTTGAATTCTGTTGGTCTATCAGATGCAGAAATGAATAAATTATACTTGTTGTTGTCTCTATCGCCGTTTTTCTTTTGAAGTGCCCATAGATATATATATATATATATATATGTATAATATATAATCTCTTATCCTTTCAAAAACACAGAACAGATGTGCTTCTCACGTCGGACAACAAAAAATGAATTCCGGAGTTTCTTCCGAATATTTGTTTTTTCACAATAAAAGTCAATTTGATAAAAAATATATCTCGAACAGTGTGATGCACAAGAAGTTAAAAGTCTTTCATCAAACATTAACATATGTGACTTCTTTATCCATCCCATGACCTGAAGAAAATCTCACATAACGATTGGGCCAGTCCTTCGAGCGCTCCGTATCTATTCAAACATTGCAGATTGTAAAAAGAAATTTTCGACATCGAAATTCGTCTTTTACTCAACAATTACCCATCTGGTTTCACTGATGCCCATTGCGCCCGCTTTCCCAAGGATCTCCGTCTCCGCAATCTTGAATCACTTTTCCAATATCAAAGCAAATACGTATATTGTCGTACTAACGTTCGAGACGAAAATTCGATTTTTGAGATATGTGGCTTTCAATATTGATGATTAGCAGCTAGAAAAACGCTTTTTGACTACCATGACCTTCCGGCTTTCTCTTCGGATCATGATAGTCAGAGGTAATATGTGTTCAAACGGGTAAAAACCATAATGAAGTTAAAATCATTTTTGGGCCAGTTTGAAGTACCAACTCAAAAAAACCCGAAAAAATACAGTAGTAAAGTAGCACCTTCAGCGAATATCTCGATAACCGCTATCCATCAGAAAAACTTGACTTTTGCAAATAAAAACTTTTAGGTTTTCTGATTGAATTTGAGAATTTCATCCAGTGAATTTGTGGCGCACCTTTTCTTACTGAAGTGCATCAATGTCACAACAGCAGATGCCCTGGAACTTCAGACCACAGACCAATGTACGTATTATTATTAAGTGTTATTGCGCTGGTGACTATTTTTACTGACCGACTGACTTAACTGACCAAATTTGATTGGTCTACCCCATGGTTACACCAATCAAATTTGGTCAGTAAGGTCGGTCGATCAGTAAAAATAGTCACCACCGCACTGTAAAAAAAAATAACGGCAAAACTAACAAAAAGTCACGGTAAAAGTGTGCCATTACCGTCCAGAATACGATCACCAATAAGACGATGATGACACACTTTTAGCGTAACAATGTCATACTCGGGATACCAAAAATAACACTTAAACTGTGACAT